TGAGTACTAACTGGAGGCATGCAACCTGGAATCGAAGGATCACATTTTGGCTTCAAACCAGGCACTAGTGCATTCAAGCGGGTATCAAATCATCTCTGTCCTAAGTTGATCACAATACAGCATTCAATAGTATTAAAGCCGAGTGCTGTAATGCTGGCTTTTGCAGAGAAACTATTGCGGAACAGATAGGCCAGTGTGGACTTCACAGTTTACGTAACGCTTCTATCCAGGTCCGCACATTGTCAATAGAAGATTGAGGGAAATGACTAGTAAACAGAATGTCACAAATGTGCTTCCTTCCACAAGATCCGTTTTCCTACTTTTTTTTTGAATTTTTTATTCTTTCATGCCTGAATTACTTTCCAGAATTGTGCTGATGCGAGTTGTCATCAATCCTGCTCGGCCTGATCTGTATCTCTCTCAAGCATTTCTCATTCCACCAACAGGTGAATTCTCATTTTTTCATTCATTATTTACCGCCAGAGTAAATGGATTTCAGTTTTTCCAACACGTCAGGATCACCATTAAGATAGGGCACCAGGTAATGCATTATTGGTTAAATCAGTTAGACAGCTGCATAGCTAACTATACCTAACTTCAAAAGTCTTTTCAGCAGCGCGACTAAATTTCTTTAAAGCCAGACATCATTTATTTCATGAAGTTTATGATTAATTTAATTTAATTGCACAGATTACAATGTAACTCTGGATACAAGAACTCTGCCAGTCGATCACTCAATGACCGGAGGATACTGGGCAATGCTTGCAGCACCACCATTCGTTTGTGCGTCACTGGACACGCAACGGACAGTAACCGGTAAGGTACTAGTGGTCGGTCTTGGCGCTGGGCAACTCAACAATTACCTGCACAATCATTTCCCGAGGGTAGGTAATATTATATATATGTATGCAGCAGTTTGCAAACAGACTCATTCACTGGCGGATCCGAGGGGAAGGGGGTTGGGGATGGGGGAAGGTGGACTTTCCGACGTAGTGACGAACCGGGGAGGGAAAGGAAAATCATCCAAATCGTCCTCTTTCTGGGAGACCGCTCTGAATCCGTCTATGAATTCAATTATAATTCTGCATTAACTCATTAAGTAATTGAACATCAAATATTAGTACCCACGCTGTAGTAATGTTCGGAACCAATCAGAATAACTTGCGATCATGCAAGTGCACAAAATTTATACAAATACCCCTTTTACGTGTCTGTTGATATTGGATTATGTGTTTGTTTTCGGCCTAGACGACTTCATGGATACGGCAGGCACCAATATATGGCTCGAATCTATGGGATATCGGTGGACTTTTAGTTGTCATTGTACATTACTTATTACCCTTTACAATAAAACTGGCTGTTTTAATTTTTATATAAATAGATATTCCTAATTGGATAGTAATATACATCTTCATACAAGTACTGACATTTTATAGTCAGTTCGTTTTCTACTGGCTGAATCGGCTTTGGATCATCTCATTAATCCTTGCACTGGCTTTGCTCCTTCCCAGGGTCCATTCTCAAAGAAAAACTTAAAGAAGTATCTATCAACGGACAAAGTATTCGACAAAGCAACTAGATGGAGAACTACGCTTACGAATTGCAGCTGAACAAGCATCAACGTAAAAATATATTTGAATGCAACTTTGTTAGAATATTCCTGTGTTCTTATGTGTAAGAATTCGGATTTTAGCTGAACATTACTGCCGTGGAGATCGAACCAGCATTTGGCGCAATCGCAAAAAAATATTTCGGATTTAAAGAAGATTCGCATCAACGACTATACATTATGGATGGGATCGAATTCTTGACAAAAGCTGCTTCTGACGGTAAGCTCACGGAATTTCTACGTATTTTGAGTAGCAGTTTAAACAGAATTTTTGATGGGGAATCACTTTCATTGAAGTAAAAAAAGAGGGTTATAGGAAAGGGAGCAAGGAGCTTATAGAAAATACTTTTAACAAAAATGGTCTAAAGCGAAAATTCGAATTTGGCCATTTTATACGGTGCAAATGGCATTTCAGGGCGAAAATATGATGCCATCTATATCGACGCCTGTCCGTCGGCGTATCGCGATGGTGATGAGTTGCTCTGTCCTGCTGATG